AGCAGTCACCGGCCACATCGACCTGATCAGTGTTTGATTGTTGTGTCTTGTTGCTTTTCTTCTTTTGTCTCTCCTCTATCCACTCACCCCAACCGGTCGAGGCAGAAGGCCGCCCACCAAGAGCCGGGGTCTGTCAGAGGTTTCTTTCGTTAAAGGGAGTTTTTCCTCCCCACTGTCGCCAAGTGCTTGCTCAAGGGGGATTTGTTGAGTTTTCCCTATGTAATAATATTGATAACAGTAAGGTCTAGACCTAAGTGTCCTGAGATGACTTTTGTTGTGATTTGGTGCTATACAAATAAAATTTGATTTGATTTGATTTGACCTCTCATCCAAGAGGCCTCATCAGTTCTGTCTGACTGGTGGTGAGCAGGAGGTATTTATCTCCCTGGGTGGTGTTTCAGTCCTTCCACGGCCAACAACGTCCTCTAAGACTGAATTGTTATAGCCCAGTATTGGTAAGCGTTATTACCTGTCTTTGAACCCTCACCTGTCGACCGACTCCTGTTGTCCTGGTGGGCATGTTTGGGCAGAGATCTCAAAACAGAGTTGTAGATGGATGACAAGTTGTGTCTTAGTCCACCACCCCTATTTAGTGAGGGGTGTTCTGTTTTTACAAAAATAGCTTCCTTAGCTCCTCTCTCAAACCAGCGATGTTCTCTGGAGAGGATCTGGACTTCACTGTCCTCAAAAGAATGTCCTTTCTCCTTCCGGTGGAGGTGGACTGCTGACTCCTGCCCACTGGAGTTGGCCCTCCTGTGTTGGGCCATGCATTTGTGAAGCGGCTGCTTAGTTTCCCCAAATCTACAGGTCATTACATTCCTGACTACACCACTTCCCTGTGTTTGTGCCTGCGTGTTTTCGATGACTGACAGACCATAGAGGAATGAAAACATTGGCTTCCTGCCATCTTCTCATGTTTTTCTAGCTTAATTTCAAAACACAATGTGCAGTGTTTTTCCTGTTACCACATCATCTCTCAGTGTACCTATTGCTAAAGAGTACATATTATTGTATTAAAGACATATTGGATAACTGCAAAATATGAAATATAACATAATTATCATCATTTTAATTCTGTAACTTGTCAAAGTGGAACTACAGCAATTCTAGGCTGTAGATTGTGTTAGGATTTAGCTGTAGTCAAGACATGATGCATTCTTTTGTTTTGGGACAAACAGAAGATTAAACAGCAACAGATTTTTATAGCTGATTAACTGTTTATGCCAGTTTTATGTCATACCTTCTCTGGTTGCAGCTTCTCAAATGTGTAAAATGTGAGGAGGTTTTTGTCGTAAAGCAGAATAAACTTAACATCTTTGGGCAGTGGAGTGTTAGTTGGAAAAAGAAGCAATTTGAATACATACAGTTGTGAGCTCAAGGACACTGTGACTCTCATTTTTCAGAAATAATCTGCAGAACAATCACTGACGGAAACAATCTTCAGCTTCAGGCCTGGTGGACAGTAGCTAGTACAGCTGCCAAATCTGTGTATTTAAAGTAAAATGCACAATGTTTTCATCTGAAATGAGTGGAAAAAGTATCAATTATTAAATGAAAGTACTCAAGTAAAGTACACATACGCCACACCACTGATTAGACTGAGCCATGACCTGACAGTCAAGACAGGTGCCAGACCCGATGGTTTATCTCTGGTACAGACTGTCAGTTTTCCAGTTACACAGCATTCCCGGTGCTGAAAAACAACCAGCACCTAAGAACAAACCATTGTGCAAATAACCGAGGTACGGCCGTTCCTTGATGAAGTGTGTCAGACTGTTCTCTTCCTGTGAAAACGACGCCCAAGACAAAAAACATGATCATTGTTTTTGACTTATGGAAAATTTACTGGTGTTTTACTTCCTCTATATTCTCACAGGGGTGTGGTAAGAGGTGTGAACAAATGAGGAGGCAGTCTGATTGGTCCCTGATGGTTTTAAGTACGCATCTGTCGCTCACCTGTCCAGCAGGTAAAGTGTAGCTGTGTTGATCAGGTGTAGTATCACCACCTAGGTAAACTGAACACTGGCCATGAAGAAGATGATATCTGTTCTCTCTGTAGCTGTGCTGCTGCTGCTACTTCCTGGGACTCTGACTCAAAGTAAATTTTGGAATGATTTATAAATTGTTATTTCAGGCAGCTGTTAAATAGATCAGTTTTAGGACAGATTTTAAAGTTCTAGTTTATAAATCACTCAGTGGTAAGGGGCTGAAAAAACCTAAACCCAGCAGGGCTCTCGGCGCCTTAGGAATCATTCAGCTGTGTATGAAATGTGCTATATAAATAAAGCTGCCACGCTTAATAACAACCACTTGAGATAACAATAATCTGTTACTGAATATCGAGAATGATTTTCACTAGTTGTTTTCACTGATGTTTTTTGTCATCATTTAGCACTATTCCCCTTGAATATCACGGTGAAGAACGCCGTGACAGACGCCCCTCCGCAGTCCTACATCACTCAGGTGGCTTACAGAGGGATCCTCTTGGGTGCAATGAAAAGACTAATGAACTCCAATGCAAACTTTAAGTAAGATCATAACATTAATTGCCACCTGACAGTGAGTCTACATCTTGAAAACTGTTTTTTTAAATATATTTTATTTGTATCCTTTCCTTACATTTTGATAAACCTGCTACTTTGCCATAGGGATTCAACTCGTGTTGCTTTTCACTAAATACATGTTCACATACACATTTCCTCTGCAGGTCTGAAAACCTGAAAATGCTATGTTCATCTCAATTTGTATGTGCATACTGTAGCTGAGTTATTTTGATCTGATTGTCCAGATAGCCCAGATTTTTTAAATTCTCTTCAAAGCAACAGTGGCTTGTTCACAGACTATTGAGATGCAAATGACTACAGAAAGTACGACTGAGAAACTCTTATCGTCAAGATCACGTTCAGCTTTGTTCTTATTTCAACACACACTAACTTGATAAAAATATTTCTGCATAAGTAGCTAAGCCATGTTTGACAAACTAGGCCTTGGTGACAATCAGCTAAATGCATCCATGAGTTCTTGCTGTGTTCGCAGCTATTGCCCAGTTCAAAGAAACATATTTGTTTCTGCAGTTTCACCTACACAGAGGATCCGAACTATGGCCCATTCCTGCAGAGTGTGAATGGTGTGGCTGGAAACAATGACGACCACACATACTGGAAGCTGGAGGTCAAGACTGCAGATTGCAAGATCAAAGTACCTGATGTTGGTAAGTCCACTAATAAAGTTGATTTCTTGTCATTTTATTGTAAATCAAGTTACAACACATTGTATGGATCTGGTTTGTAGGTATTGGATGTTACATTCCCAATGAATTGGAGACGATCATTCTGAAATTTACAACGTGGTGAGGACTCCACAACTAATGCACATCAGCGTGGGACCAGAACCAGCACTGGAACTGGCTGTGTGACACAAATTCATAAATGGGCGACAACACACAACTTGTTTTGTGTTGTGATATTAAAATCTGAATAAAAAATCATCCATATGTTGATTTTAAAGATTTTAGGTATCTTAATTTCTTATTCTGTTTGGTTTTAGGTACTTTGGAATCTGTTTCTCAAGATAGTGTATGTGTGTGGTGTTTGTTCTTACGATGTTTTGTTGCTGCTCTCTATTGCTGGAACACAGGAATTTGCCCATTGTGGGATCAATAAAGTCAAACCTACCTACCTTACTTGCACTGACAGAAAATATCCTTTTTCACACCCAAAATAAACTTTAGCCATCAAAGCCATAATATTCACTGGAAGATTCTCCCACAAACCTCTGTTACATGAGTTTATAATTTTATTACAAACTCCATTAAGAGGAAGACAAATAACAGTAATGTCTGAAATTGATTTGTGGGTCGGTGGGAAACTATTCTTACCTTAACATGGCTTAATTGCTTTGTTTCATACTTCAAGTGGAACTAGGTCACAGCCTGATATCTGGACAGTTGCACACATGTCTTTATGGGGCTGTAAGCAAAATTGCAGAAACTCCTGCGCATTTGGAATGGTGTGGGACACTCTTAGGTGCTGCTTCAATTTGGATAAGCTTCGAAAACAGAGGCCACACAAATTGTCCGCGTGCTGCCGCTCCATTTCAGCCAGCTGCCGCCCCTCAGCCTGACACACGTGCTTCTTCTTCCAGCTCCAAATCCAGAATGGCCCGCGCCAGCGCTGGAACGCCCACTTCCTTTTAAACGCAGCACGCCCAGCACATTGCCACAGGGTACAGCACCACCATGCGTTCAATGTGGAAGTTGGAAGGCGTCAGTGGAATGTGGAAATGTGGAAATGTGGAATCCCCACAATACCATGTCATATACGCCAATCTGGGCGCGTCAATATGGGCCACGGCCATGATCCAATTCTGTCGCCATAACGTGAGCCCTGACCCAACCAAAGGAATATAATGTATAGGCCTGGTGGGTTCAGGGTCTTTCATCTTACATCTGCCTGCGAGCAGTTTGGAGGTGCAAGATGCCTGAACATGTAATGTTAATTTTTACCTGTGTTCATGGAATAAATCAGCACTGTTTTGTAGTTACTTGGACTGCCTCGTCTCTCAGAGTCAGTATGATAAAAAGTACCGGGTACAACAGGGCCCTCCACCACGTCTTCGCTACCAGTGCTATTAACTACTGTCAGTTCTTGAACATTTGCACACGTGAGCTACCATAAATCTGAAACACCCATCATAAATGTTATTAACCGGAGCTCTGAACAGGATCATGGGTTTTAAACTTCTATGGTTTTTAACATTAAAATGTAGCAAACTCACAAAAATGGTCCGAAGTGCAAAATATGGAGTGGCGTACTGAAAAGTAGCACAATAAACCAGCAGACAGTACATTCATTGTAAACAAGTTAACCACTGTAATTGCTTTTGGTGAACAGCAACAGTCAACTACAATTAAAAGTTGCACACAAGGTCCTACAGTGACCTCTGCTGGTAAAAACATTCTACTGCAGTAATTGTCCACACAAACAAAACTTTTTTGTGTGCTTTTTGCTCATGTCAAGTTGGTGGTTCTAGTCTATCCATGTTTCCTGTATTAACTGATATTATGCTTATATTATAAGAGATACTGTTACAGTCCAAACATGGGAGCACATACAGAGATTTCTGGTATGTTAAGCACTTTCCTAAATGGGCTCAAGATTCAGACAGAGTTTCCTGTTAAAAAGCTTAGAGCTTTCCAAAACACTGGGTTTGTCCAAGAACACAAAGGCTCGTAGGGAGGAGTCTGGGGCCCACAGCTACACATACAAGATAAAAGAATTGAATGATAAAAATCACAGACTGGATGAAAGATGGATGAATTTGACATACAGGTTATTTTGTTTACATTAAATAAGCCTGAGGACAAACCTTCTCCCAGTAGGTTTGAGATTTTGGAAATGTTGCCATGACAACAATATTTTTATTCTGTTATTGTTTCAGTGACATAACAGGACACACTGATGTGCCTATGCAGTTAAAGTTTTAAGGGCATCTGTTGTACAAAAATGTAAGTAGGAGTGTAGCTAGCTGTAATTGCAGATACACTGTGTAATGAAGCAGGTGCAGTAAAACATTAATGAAAAAAATCACACTCTCTCAGCTCTGTGATATATTACTGGTTAAATCAAATAGTTAATATTTCCATGAAATCTTTGGTTAGTAACCACATGGTTTGTTCTCAGTCATGCCTCTGTCTTCTACTTGACAATGGCAGCTGGTGCTTGTGGGTAATATAGGATTTACAAATGAGTTAGAAACAGACTAAATCATTTGAACCACATTCAGTAAAATTCATTGAAGAATAACTTTAAACAGGCACAAACTGGGAAAAACCCTCCCTCTCCACTACTCTATGGCCTCTGCTTGTTCAGAGTGCTGTTTCCTTCTGTTCCTTTAAATCCACACCTTCCACAAAGACCACACCACAGTGATGCTCACTGGCATAATCCGAGGGCACCACCCCATTTACAGACAGGTCCTCTTTCTGTCTGTGGGTGGGACTTCTTCTGAACCTGTAAAACAGTCTGTTATTGACATTCATTTATTAATCAGGTAGCAAATAAACACAACAAGCAGAGCAACTGTCGAACAGTTTTTTAAAATTAGCATCATTCTGGTCTCTGCTTTGTATGGAAGCGTATTCCTGCCACCCTGCGAAAAAAATATTTGCTCAGTATTTTGTTATAACAAGAGACTTTTATGAGTTAAAACATTTTTTCTACTTTATAACAATATACTGTATTTTCTCATAATAACGATAGTTTCAGTGAAATACCGATTCAAATTTGTGGCTTGATGAACCGTGTAATATTATAGTCCACACTCTAGAAAAGTATCATATCAGTTCTTGCATTTTCCCATCGAGATGTTTCCCCTGACCCAACATTATCCTGACTACTATCACTGAGTGGGACCTTAGATGAACCAGAGTCTTTAACAAGGCGTACACTTTGACACAAGACTGGCCCTGCTTTTAGTGAGTGATAGCAGCACATAGACTAACTTTACTTGCTGCCAGTAATGCTGCAACATGTGCAGGGTATCGTGGCTCATGAGCTGGTCATTGTGTTGAAGGATGGTACGGCTGTTAATGAGCATCGTGCACAGCAGCAGCTAGAGCACCCTGCACCAGCTTCTCTCTCATCAACACACATACCAACTGTGATAAAGGTATGTGCTACACTATCCCATATGCTGCATTTCCCTTTTTCATGATGCCAACTTTCCACATAGCGACCAGCTCAGGAGGTACACTCCAGCCGGCATCTCTTTATAATGTAATGTTTTAACATGAAAGTATCTTGTAAAAATGAGAAATGTGGCAAAGCCTTTTACAGTGCTGTGTTTTACTACATATGATAAATCACACTCAGAAAGTAGAAGTGACATTTGTTATAAAATGACTAGTTAAAACATTTCAAAATGCACCTGCAGTATTGTGCATTTTGTTACTTTTAGTGAAACAATCATTGAAGATTTCTTAAAAATAGTGTTAAAATATTGTCTTGTCTCTTGAGCTAAGTGTATTGTCACATATCCCTCTCTGCTACTGTCTGTAGCGGTATGGGATAGCAAATATTGTTTAAATTAACTGATAGGTATATATTGTGTAGTGTTTACATCTATGATGACTAATCCTCCACTCATGGTGCATTTACCAAAATTCAATACAGCATGACATCAACTTCATATTTTTTATGATCCTAATGCAGCTATAGAGGCTAACCATTAGCTTACCACTTTTTCTCCACATGCTCGATGGTGTCGGGCAGTGGGACGTTCATCGTCTCTGGCAGGAAGCAGGCAAAGCAGCCAGCTAACACTGCTGTCCCTGCATATACCAAACCGGGCAGAGCAGGAAGTACCTGGGAAATGTAGTAGGTGGCATTATAAATATTAATTACACTGAATCCTGCAACAGCTCTTGTGTGAAGCTTTCTACCAGCTTTTTTTCTAAAGTGATAAAACAAATGATAGTGGAAATGTAACCAAGAAACAGTGTGTTACATTTATAATGAATTATAAAGTTTAACAAAGAAGGACCTGATCCCAGTGTTACTGCTGGATCATGTAAACATTGTTGATATGAAGGTTTAATTTACTGTTTATTTTTATTTCACAGATCAGATTCAGGCTGTAAGAACTTTGATAAATCACAATTTAAGTAAAATGGGGAACTGATTTGCATTTATATATTTTTGTCACCTTTCACTAAACCACTTCTTCGAGTGTGCCACTGTGTTTACATTGATGATTGTTAAAGTTCATATCAGTGATATCACCTCGTCCAGCATCAGGACAGTCGGGGCCACCATGCTGCCGACTCTCGCCATGGTGGAGACAAAGCCCATTCCTGTCTGCCTGGAAGCACACACACACACACATCACATGATCTATTAATTGATCGATTTTCTGCTGACATACCTTGTTTACCTGTTTATCTGCTGTCAAGATTTGAAATGTCACTCTCACCTGATGACGGTGGGGTAGAGCTCTCCGGTGTACAGGTAGGCGGTGATGAAGGAGCCTGAAGTGAAACCTTTACCAAGACACGCCAGTGTGGTCCTGATGATCTGCATATCTGTGAGTGAGGTGGGGGAAGGGTCTAACTTTTAAACAACTCTACCGCAGTGAAGATGTATCCTTTGGATGGGACCTGAGAGTTACACCTGGTTTTTGGGTCAGCATCAGGTTCAGGGTCAAGTTGGGGTTAAACTTGGTTTATGTGTTAGAGTTACACACCACAAAGGAGGTCCTCACAAATATAGAAACAATGCCTGTGTTATGATGTAAGTGTGTATTATTTGTGTATTTTTTGTGTACTAGTTACCTGTGGGGATGAAAATGTTGGTGGAGATGACGAGGGCTGCCAGGAGAAGACAGGTGGCCTGAGAGACCCTCCTCCCTAGGTAATTCATCATGGCCAGTGCCATAAGTCTGGCAGGAAAGTTTATGGCTCCAAAGATGGTTTGCATCAGGTAGATACTCACCTGGAAGAAACAGCAACCAACAGAGGGTGAACTGGCCAGTAGGGGGAGAAAAGTTTAAAGCAATGTATTTTTAACATGACAGGTGGGCAGATACAAAGGTAAATCATGGCAACTTTTCTAATCACAGCTCTCAGACCCTCAGGTATGAAGTGGATAAGGTGTACAAAAAGTTGTCAGCTAGCACGTAGCATTGATAGTGATCAGGTGACTCACTCCAAACTTCTGCAGGTCCATTGACAAACCATAGTATGTAAAACTGGTGGAGAACCTGCAGACAGGTAGTCAGAGAGGTGGGCAGGTAGATATGCAACTGTTATCAATGTGTTATTCCTTTGGACAAATAAATAAACTTGATGAACATAAGTAGAATAAAGAACACAGGTGTGTTTTCTGACCAGACAGCGATCAGACAGATGGAGATGCGTCTCATTCTTCGGGTCTTCAGCAGGTCATAAGCTGTGAACGATGATTGACTTGACTCAATCTCCTTACTCATGTGAAAGTGGAGCACCTGCAGGTGACATGGTACTGATCTCAGCTGCTGCACAGATCTCCATATTTGGGACAGGTAAAACTAACAGAGACAGGCAGTTTACCTCCAGTGTTAACTTCTCAGTCACCTCTGGTTTTCCATTGATTCGAGCAACTCGGTGAAGACTCTTTAATGCCTCATCAGACCGATGGTTCACGACCAACCAGCGGGCTGATTCTGAAAACCACCTGACCAATCAGAGAAGCACAAAATTTAGAATTATCTGACCAATCAGAGAGCAGACATATCAAAGACATTTCTCTTTAAAGCCTGACCAGCTACAGGCGAAGAACAGAAAGTGAGGAGCACAGACGGCCAGCTGCAGCTTCCTCCAGTCTCTCAGCCAATAGGCAAGCCCCGCCAGGATCATCTGACCAAAGACGAAAAAGAAGGAGGAGAGCGTTCCTACTAATGCCCTTGTTTTGGTTGGGATCCACTCCATACCTGAGGACAGACAGGTAGGAAGATCTGAGGACACATCATTTTGAACCTGGCAGACAGGTATACAGGTGGACAGGTACTCAGTGAGGCAAACAGTTACACAGATGATAGGTACTCAGTGAGATTCTGTTGAGAATGACTCCAGACACTGCCACCCCACAAAGAAACCTAAAAATGCAGTAGGCATAGTATGACGGAGACAAGGCGGAGCTACAGCCAAGCACACCCAGCTGTAGGTACGACCAAATAAGGAGTGACCGCCTCCCAAACCTGAGAGACAGAGAGGGAGAGATTCCAGTGGGTTTGATCACACAGGTAACACAGGCAGGGACAGAATATGGATGTAAATACCAGAGCATCACATGTTTAATGTTGACATGAATGTTTGTTGTTTGAACAGGTGAGTCTCACCTGTCTGATAGCCTGCCATAAATGATGGCTCCTGTTAAAACTCCGCCCATATAGATGGTTTGAATCATCTGTTTCAAAGGGCGCAGAGAGCAGACCAAGTCCCACTGAGACAGACGGGTTCAAAGAGACAGACAATGTGGTGAATATGAGGCTGGCCAACACAGTGTCCTGTTAATGAAGATCACTTTGTTCACCTCATTAACTGTCATCAACATCAGCATTAACCACAATAACCAGTCAGCAGGTTTCCTGTTGTTACCTCAGAGACAGTGGTGGTGAGGAACTCAGAACGATCGTACGTCCATCCATCCAAACATCCTTCAGTCAGTAGGTGGCTAACATTAGCTGAATTGTTAACAGCTAACAGCTGCCACTGAGGCTCCACATACCTGAACAGGTGGAAGATGAAGTGATGTCAGAGGACGTTTATTCATTAGGCTTGCTGGAGCTGATCCAGGTGAGTGTGCTCGAATACCCAACCACTGGTCACTGTTCCTTCAAAGTTCAGCACATGAAACTACACCTGCTGCTTGCACCAACTGGAAACCACGGCACACTGTGGCAAATTAACGAAATAATACATGGAATTGGTAAGAATGCGAAGCAGCAGAGTGCACTGTAGCCTTCACTTCCAATGTGATGTTAATTTGGCAGCACTGAATCCAAACATTAAATTTTATGTATTTCCAACGGTTTTTCTGGTCAGAAACTGTGGACACACTCTCCTCCCAGCAGCCCATGACTGTCAGCTGTAAATCAAAAACTGCAGACAGGGCATCACCCACCAGGACACAGGCAATGGGATGGTTGCATCGACGTCACCGACCCACAGGAACAGCAGTGATATTAGCCTCATTGATCTACTGAGGAACAGATGCGGTGGCATTGGCAAACTCTCTGGGTGCAGGAAATGTGGGGAAGTCATTGAGGACCCACCTGGAGGCAAGAGCAGATGAGGCTGTGAGGCAGTCGGCCTCCTCAGGGACAGAATCAGAGGTGGTGACGACCTGCTGAGGAACTTGAACAAGTGCAGCATCAACCCAATCAGGAACAGGACCAGATGTCCACGCTGACCTGCTCAGGAACGAAGGTAGTGTCACTGTCCTTGCTGATCTGCAAGGGAACAGGAGCAGAAGCAGTGCCAGCATCCTCAGGAACAGGACCAAGGGCTGCATCAGCATCCCAGTGGCATTGACCCACTCAGGGACAGAGATGATAGGGGTATCAACCAGCTCGTGGACAGGATCAGAGGTGGCGTCAGCATCCCAGTCAGCCCACTCGAGAATAGGAAAAGAAGCGGTGTCGGCACCCTTCCTGACCCATTCGGGAATATAAGCTTCAGCATATGCATTTTTGTCAGCACGCCAGGAAACAACTGCCACAGCAGGGACATTTTCTCAGACACTCCGAGAAATCAGGCTGGTTTCTGGGGTGTTGGCAGGCACGCTGTTCTGCTCAGAAACAGAAACCAAAATGGTGGCATCAGGGTTCTCATTGACCCACTGAGGGACAGGAGCAGAAACCCCAACATGAGCATTCTCATCAGCACACTGGAAAGCTAGAGCCTCGGTGGGGATGTCTTTGTTGGTACACTGAAGAATGGGAACTTTGGTGGGGACATTCTCATTGGCACACCAGGGAACAGCTACTTCAGTGTGGACATTAGCACTGTCCAAAGATTGAGAACCAGAGGTGCAAACAAGAAGGGGTTTTCTGTGGGTGACCCTTTTTCTTGGGATTCTTTCTCCCTAAACCCCCAGAACAAACAGCTAGCCGGGTTCCCCAGAAAGGTGAGAGCTTGGGGTCAAATGCAGGAGGGTCCTGATTAAACTCAGGGACAGGGGTTGAAGACTCACCACTACAGTTGACTGAGGGGGTGACAGACTGTGGTTCTGTAATGCTAGAGTACTGAGGGACCGGGCTGCTGCAAGCCCTGCAGGAAGCCCTGATGCGACACAGTCCTTGAAGTCAAAAACATAAGGGGAAGGGGGTGCTCCATCTGAGCTTTCAGCTGTGTCCGAATGTTTTTGGTTGGGCTCAGGGTGATCTCCACCAGTGACTGACAGGTGTTGCTGATAGGCTGCGGCTCATGGTCAGGTACCAGGAACTCCGAGCTGGCTGTAGGGACAGCATGGAATGTAAAGGTGCTGCTCACACTAGATAGCCTGTCTGCAGGCTTTTGTCTCTTCCTGCTGCTGCCTGATCTCGTCCACCTTCAAGGTGAGACTTCATACAAAACAAACCTGATACATTTCAGTGTTGGGGAAGGACAATTACCTCTTGCAGCGGTCCAGTCTATTTCCTGAGGAGTCCAGAGGAATGAAAGCTATCAGCAGCTGCTTCTGATCCACCTGAAACAACCAGTCACATCCATCCAGCAGTGAGGCAGGTTACCTGATGGTATCAGAGGGGTTACCTGATAGTGAGCAGGTTACCTGGTAATGTGACACGTTGTGGAGGCTGTAATTGGCAGGCAAGCTGCAGTGGTGGGCAGGAGTTCCTGACACAAAGTTGTTTAGCAGGTTCTGACTCGCCATTATCAAACCAGGTAAACTGATCAGAGTCACATGGAGCCACTGGTACCTGCCAAACCCACCCACCTCACCATGGCAACAAGGTAGACAGAAAGCACATTAACATCTGCATCACACAGCTGGTCTACATGCACAGGTATGTAATCAGGTCACAGGATTACTGATTATGATTAAACAAATTCTATTAGTAATTAGTTAATCTCACCTCATCCAACAGGTCGGCAAAGGCCATCCTTCTCTGAGCCCTTTAAATTAATATGATTTACTTTTAAAATATTTTTAAAACAGTTTATTCATGGCTTTACCTCACCACCAACAACAACAACAATAATAAAAATAATAAAAACAACAGAAGAGTTTTCATGACTTGAGATTCAGCTCCATCAGAATGAACCTGACAACAGAAAAAAATAAAACAATAATTTAATTGGAATGCAGGTTTTGTTACCTTACTGTCTGGGTAAAAGGTCAAGTTATGAACCACCAACCTAATTCCAAAACTATCCAAACCTTCTCCAAACCCCTCAAAACCTCAAACATTTCACTGCACCCTGTGATGCATTGTTCCTCCATGAATCACTGCAGTTTCTCATATTTTTTTTTTTATCATATTGCTATTCTCTCTACAGAAGTTGAGAGCAGGAGTCACATGTGACTGCTGACCATGATGGCCGTCTAGAGCAAACCTCCCATCAAACTGCCCAATTTTTCTGTTATTTGTTTGAGTAAGGCCTGTATTTTTACTTCCTAGTAGGTGTCTACTGAGACCTGTACATTTTCCCCACCCATTCAAATAAGAAAATTAGAAGATGACACTCAACACCAAAACGAGAATGGTGAAGCAGACTCCTAGCAATGCTAGCATAATTAGCCCAATAAGTTAGCTAGGCCCACTGAAACCCCAGTGCCACACACGCCTAATCCCTCTGCAATGACTGCCCTGACAGTACAAGCTACACTGGAGAAGACTTAACGAGCTGAGAGTGGTAAACCAAGGCAGCTGCTGAGAAACATTACATCTGAAACACTAGGCATTGTTCTACCAGAAACCGAGCTGCAGTGGGGTTCTGTGGCCCCTGCGCTTTTACAGTTATTCAGAAGGGGAGAAGGTGCTTGTGGCCACAAGACAAAACTACTGAGACAAGAGGAGAATTGTTTAGAATGGCTATAAAACTGTGTCCTTTCCAGACATGACTAAAAATGTTGTTGAGAAGAGGAGGGGGTTTGTAGAGGTCAGGAAGAAGCTACATGGTCTCAATATCAGATTCACACTGACCTCTCCTGCAGACCTCCATTTTACATGGAGGGGAGAGTGAAAAAGCTTTGGGGATTGTCGTAAAGTAATGGAATTCATCATGCAGATGACACAAACAGAAGGGGGAACCACTGTGCAGTAGTCATCTACCTGGCGGGAGTAAATATAGATTGCAGCCAAGTTAGCTAAAGAAACTACTACGTAAGCCTTATTTTTACACAAGCAAGCAATCTGATTCTTAATAATGTATGGCTTATCATTTCTTAGAACTATTGATTTAATTAGCTTTTAAATCTATTTCAAATGTGTCATCCTGCTCAGAGTTTGTGCCCCACCCTGTCCAAATTCTAAATCCACCCCTGTGAATCACCCAGGGCCCAAATTCAATGGGGGCCCCATAAAAGAGCCCATAAAATCACACCCAGATCTTTTTTAAAACAACCTTCTTTCTTTCTTTCTTTCTTTGTGTAATTATTTATTTATTCTGATTTAAAATGGTCACAACTGTACACTGTAAGGCCAGGATTCATCCATCATTTTTCTTTACCTGTCCAATATGTTGCATTGTAGTGTTCCTACAGTGGTGTCTGTTTGGTTGCGTTGCTGTAGTGGTGGACTCACTAGGCAGATTTAGCACTAAAATAAATTTTCAAAAAAACTAAATGAAAAGTTTTCTTTCAAATTCTTGCTTTGATAGCCTAATAAAGTAGCTATTGTTTATATAGTTAATAAATACAGCCTAGTTACATAAATTACTGAACACATTTGATGTAGGTGTCATGCAGATTTAGTCGATTTCTCAGGGACACGTCGCTCCAATGTTAGAAAACAAAAATCTGGGGTTCAGACGTGATGAGAGAAGCTTTTCTGTCCTGTGTTCTGTCTTATTTTCTGAAATTGAGTTTGCCGAGATGAAACAAAAAAGGGTGGACATCTACACTTGAACATCAGTTGTTAATATTTCTTTGGAGTTAACGGAATAATTGTTGGGGTTTGAACCAGTTCAGACGTGATGAGAGAAGCTTTTCTGTCCTGTGTTCTGTCTTATTTTCTGAAGTTGAGTTTGCCGAGATGAAACAGAAAAGGGTGAACATCTACACTTGAACATCAGTTGTTAACGTTTCTTTGGAGTTAATGAAATAATTGTTGGGGTTTGTGTCTCTGAGAAACACGCAGAGCTAAGTGAAAAATCTGCTTTTGTGTGTGTGTTTCTCCATATGTGGGAGAGCAACACTGACCAGAAGCTAGTTTAATGTGGTGGATTTGTGTCTGCTAATTCGACTTTAATGTGTCAGCCAGTAATAGGCTACTGCTGACTTGAATCATACCACAGTCAGCCTGTTGACAGAGACAAAGGTGTTTTGTGTTGTTGGTTTTACAGAGTGAAGTCCAATTTATTGAAGGAGACTTGTGGTGTGTGCTGCCCTTGGTTGCACACCAGAGTCACAACATCCAGCAGCACATAGCTGTTGTGGCTGTTTACTGAATATCCTGCACACTCTGTTCTAGCTTTGCTACTATCTGGCAGACAAAGCCCTTACTCGGCATGTGGACTCTGAACGTGACGCACAGACTGACAGAAACGTGTGATTCCGAGATATAAATATCAAACTTGCAGTCGAATATATACAAAGAAGGTATTATTAGATGATAAGTTACTAGCCTACTATGAATATTTTAAAGTCATAGGCTACTATTAGAAATTACATGTCGAATGTGGTAGCTACTTTAAGCTGTACCCTATGTTCAGATCACTGTTAAGTTTCTATGACATAGGCTGTGTTTTACTTGGCTTTAAATGATAAACTTGTGGGAGACCAAGAGGGTTAAGGTACTAGAATAGAATCACTTTATTTGGCCAAGTATATTACACACACAAGGAATTTGTTTCTGGTACAGAACTGAGGTAGCCATCTGTGGCGCCAACAGTTCTAACCACCAGGGGAAACTTTGGGGTTCAGTGTTTTGCCCAAGGGCACTTTGACTGCAGGCACTGTGATTCGAACTTCCAACCCTCTGGTTGGGATACGACTGCTCTACCCACTGAACCACAGTCACCCTAGATTAGTCTTATTCTCATTTATTCATCATACTTATTATGTTTTCCTTCATCTTATTTTAACATTTATTTTTGTTTAATTTCAATTCAGTATTTGTTATACTTGCTCAGTATTGTTGTGAATAAGGCTGATGAGGGTGATACAGGCAGAGGTGAGAAAGTTGACCAGGAGATGACCCTAGTAGCCTTAAAGCAGGCAAGAGAGAGAAAGAACCCCTCAGTTTGTTAGTTTGACGGCTACCCAGACTGGCTGGAGACACTGGGACACCTGTCACACCTCAGAGAGGGAGCGAAATGAAGCCTGTTAATGTTCTAATGTTTAGTGTTTTTAAGATGTAATCTTGTGACAGGTTAATGTGTCTGTTTATTACCTTTTGATGCGTTGAGAGTCTAAAAGATGCTGCAGGGGCTCTGAAAATGGTTCCGCTTCACAAACCAGAAACAGAGATGTTGCCAGTTGTGACCTTTTGCAAAAAAATCCTACACATTATTTGAAACTGAAGAGACTGGGTGTTTTTTTTTTTAAAGATAAGGGGATCATAGCTGGTGTGTGCCTGACTTATACTGGCCCAGGTCAGGTTCCACAACATCTGGGTTCAGTTGTTTAATGATTTGGTACAAATACCTTGAGCAAGTGATATACTTTGTTTAATTATTGTTTAGACAGTGAGTGAGCCAGAGGGCCCACAGACAGAGCCCCATCCCCCCCTCCATGCCAGTCCCGCCCCTGAGAACGTTACCATATATTGCACTTTGAGCAATATATAACCTAGGATGGGGGGCCATAGAACAAAAACTTACTGCCCCCAATGGTGCATTTGAAACTGTCTCAAAATTTCCCATCTCTTTTTGAAAGTAAGGAAATTAATCCAATTTCAAAACATTCAAAAGAGATACGGGGTAGATCACACAAACTATTGAAGACCTCACAATATAAACAGGTTTACTCATCTGCTTGGAGTAACACAGCCTTAAAAGTGGAGAAAGGGTAGTCTTCTGACATTCCTTGTTTTCCAGAGATATAGCTGAATTTATTACTAAGAAGACTCTTGGATCATATCAAGACCTCAGTATAGTGATTGCAATGCATAGAATGGAAACTGAATGAAAAGAGGATTATCAGTGAAAATGTACTTACAGTCTGCAGGATGACAAGAGGATAGGTGGAGAAGTGAAGGAAGTGAAGACATGAAACAGAGAGGTGTAGCAGCATAAAATAGACAGAATATTAAGTGATTTTAAAAAGAAAAACAGGCTCCTCCTCCCACCACCTCCACCCCATTTCTGCACTTTGTTTTCACTTGCTGGTTGATCATAATGTGTCTGCAGAAGAAGCCTGAAGGGAATGCTAGTTTATACAGTCTTGGTAGAAGAAAGTACACCCTCCTTCAAATAAATGTTTTTACTCATCAGGGGCTAAAA